TACTTTCGGAGTGCCACCAAAGCCGAATGTTTTTTTTGAGAGAGACTCCAAGGGGTGAACTAAACATTTACTTAGAGCCGACCGTTTTTTTTTTTGAGAGAGACTCCAAGTGGTGAACTAAATATTTACTCATGGTTGAAGAGAGTATGTGAGAGAGAGATGGTAACTGATTTCTGTAATTGAATACCTGTAATTAAAGAAAATTAGGGAAAGAGAGACGGAGAGGGGGACGGTGAAAGAGGGCATGACGGTGTGCTCTTGGCGGATCTGTGAATATGCCAAGGAGAAATAGAGAGAGAGGGAGACAAAAAGGGCAAGGTGAAGAGTGGGGGCATTACGGTTTATTGTTGAGTAGGTCAATAAATTGGGTGAAGAGGGACAACAACTGAGAAAGGAAATAGGGGGAGAGAGTAAGGAGAGAGTAATAGAGGGTAATGACTGAGAAGTAATGGGAAACAATTAGAGGTGATGATTAGGTTTAGTGTGACATTAACTTTGAAGGATAAGAATGACATAGTTGTAGTGTTAGGAGGCAAAGGAGGGAAAAACATATTTTTTTTTTTATGTATGCTGGTATTTTAAAGTAGAATAAATATAACCATGAGTTCTTAAATTTTGTCCAATATATATTTTATGACAATATGAGTTCACAAGTCTTGCCAATGTGTAGTTACTGATTTTTTTTGGCTATGTTTTAGCAAAATTAACTCAGATCCATTCACAGGTTTGGCATAAATTTTATATATAATTGAAACCTTGGAGCTCAAAGCAAAAACCCATGGCATAAAGTCCACTAGACTAAAGGAAAAAAGCCTCATGGATTAAGCCCATCCACAACCCACCACAAAGTCCAAATAAGTCAAGTTGTAAAAGATAGATAAAGAGATAAGGGAAATCCGATCAACAAATTAAAAAGTTAGCCATGGCCTTAAAAAGGTAGAAGGAAACTTGCTTAACCCCATTTGTAATATTAGCCTATGGTAAATACAAGGCTTGAAACTAAAACCGTCTCTTTTCTCTCACTCTCCTACTCCATAGGAGTCTTGTATCTTTCCCATCTCTCTTCTCATCTCTGTCCCTCACTAAAACCTATGGTGCATAGAACAAAACAACGAAATCTCCTTAGAGTTCCTAAACACATGGATATGGGCTCTGGCACTGCGATGTGGCGCAGTTCTTCACGTGATGCATCTCTGCTTCTTTTTATGTTTTGGGATGTTCCGCTATTTTGTTGGATTCTGCAAACTACCAATTGTGATTACTTTCCAAAGATTGCAAATCGGCTTAATCTTGACCCCAACGTTTTTGGACCCCAACGTGTTCTAGTCGTATCTAAAATTCAAAGAAAAAAAATTGGACACTTTATTTTGCGTGTCTGTGTCTCAAACTATGTCAGACACACATAAGCTTAAATCAAGTATCTGTGCTTCACAGTATTAAGCCAATGGGTCATACAATAGAACTTTGGGAAAGAGTGATCGAGCAAAGATTAAAGTTTGAAACAACGGTTACAGAGAATTAGTTTAGATTTATTTCTTCTGGGAGATCAACAATAAAACTATATATTTACTTTCGTGACTAATGGAGAAATGTAGGAAGAAAACATGGTTCAAAGTCACGGTATTGGCCTTTGACTCGGAGGGCACTGATACACGTTGGTCGCGGTGTCACGGCGCACTATCGGTTGATATGCTCAAAACACTTGATAGAGAATTCAAATTTTTTTAAAAAAATCACAAAAAATTATAACGTATAAATTTCATCATTCATGCATCGTATGTTTAAAATATATCATCTTTCACATTAAACATTTGTGAAAATAAAATAAAATGGTGTTCGCGAAAATATTTATTATCATTATTGATCAATTTAAATATTTAAGAACATACCCAGCCACAATTTGTATAGATATTTTACGAATTCAATGATAACAATAGATTAGGATATCAAATTCAGTCTAAATACTATTATTGATTAGTTCAATAAATCATTATAATGCAATAGATCAATTAAGAGCTAGTTTTAGTTTATGGAAAGAAAAACTACAATACATACACTATATAATAACTACTGGGTCACCGAAAAGAGTAATGAAGAATACCAACAATTAATTATTGAATAAAATACAATGCCTAATAACATTTAAGGATCCCACTTATCGAAAAAACCCATTATAGGATCCCACCCTTTAGGCTCTCATATGTCGATCGATAAAAGAGAGAGAGAGAAGATAGAACCTCAGCAACAAATAGATGGAAATCGAAGCATTATCAGAGCTCCAGTTTCCAGGCTTAGTTGCAATCAATTCTCACAACACAAAGTGAAAACTAAGGGAATAACTGAAGAAGAGGAAGAAGAGTGAGATTCCGAGACTCTATTCCAATTGCAATGGCTTAATTTCTAGGTTTGCTTGCAATTTCTTCTTCTTGTTCTTGCACAATATCATATGGGTACTCTGTGGGAAACTGGAAAATTGCTCGCAGTTTGCTTTGCATGTGGGTTTCTCACAAATTTGTTCATCTTTGGTGTGGGTGTTGGCTTCATCTTTTTTTTTTCCTTGTCCTTTTACCGATTTGCCAGTGGCTTGTTATTTTTGACTTGTTTGTGTGATTTTCAACACGAATCGTTTGACTCAGTTACGAGTCAGTCTGAGTTAACCGAGTTAAGTTCGAGTTGTACTGATTTTACTGAGTTGTCTTTGAATTAAGTTTGATTTGAGTGAGACTCAGAGATTTTGTGTAACGTGTATCGTTATTGTTTTGGTAGAGGTCGAGTCGTATCGGACTAGACTGATACTTTGAACCCTAGGAGAAATGTAAGGACCTTCATATGGTTTTTGACTGGACGTGAATCGGTACGCCTATCGTTAAATGATATGTGGACAGGGATGGGTCTCACAAAGAGTATTCAACCCCCTTGGGCAGGCGAGACCATGCCGAGCTGTCAGACTGAACCCCATGAACTCTCTTGGGAATACTTATAGGACCCAAGAGATATTTGTCCCCGAGCCCAAAAAGTAATGGTGATCTGACATAAGGGCCCGTTGACTTGAAGGGTAGTAGGAAATGATTAGCTACACCGTCATCGCCTCGTGGGGACCCTCACCCAATCTCGCGAATACTGTCTAAAAGCATGACCCTTTCTTACGAGGCTTGTCGGTGTGCGTCAGTAGTGCTCGGTGTTCACCATTTAAATGTTCGGCTCAGCTCATTAAATGCCTAGTAGAGCTCATTGAATGCTTGGACATGGCTTATTAAATGCTAGGATCTCCCGAGAAGGTAATTATTGCGGTTTTTTACCTCAAGTGACTGCTGGCCCTCCCTAGGCCTTGTAAATGTGCGGCTCGAGGGTTGGAATAGCTGGCTGGCTTGATGTGACCCTCTGGACTCCACATCATCATCTCTCAAGGTATAAATAACCCAAAAAGGTTGGGTATTACGTACGGATACAGAACTCAACTTTTACTGTAGCACTTATATCCTCTCACTTGAATGCAGATTGACTTAGGCATCGAAGGGAATATGTTGATCTCAAGGTCAATCAATTCAGGTGTGGCTGTCTCAATAATTGCATAGAAATCACCCTGTGTAGTTTTTATAGACTTAGAGAAGACATATGATAGAGTTTCTATAGATATATTATAGAGGATTCTAGAGAAGAAAAATGTTATTATTATGTATATTGATATGATTTAGGATATTTATGAAGTTGTAGTGACTTTAGTGAGAACAATGATAGGAATGATTAATGAATTTCTAATTACCGTAGGCTTACATTAGGTTTTGCTTTGTGTCCATATCTTTTTGTGTCAATTATGGATAAATTGACTAGGCACATTCAGGATGAACTCACATGATGTATGTTATATGTAGATAATATTATATTAGTTGATGAAAGTAAAGAAAGAATTAATAATAAACTAGAAATATGACGAAAAATTTTAGAATCAACAGGATTTATGGTAAGTAGGACTAAAATTGAATATATGTGTTGTTTAATGTATTATTTTTAGCTTAAGGGTATTTTAGTACTTTATGATTTTGATTATATATAAACAAGTTGAGTGTAGTTGTGTAACCATACACCACTCCCTTCCCATATTCTTCTCTTTCTCCCTTCTTCTTTTCTTCAAAACCCTAACGGCTCTACAATCTAACTATATGGCATGTAACTTTAGTAAAAGAATGAAATGAAACTGAGAAGTAGTAAAAATTGAAGATCAAGAAATACCTTGTAATGATTATAAGATATTTCTTTCGTGATATTGGCATCAAACAATTCTAAAGTGAATCATTTTTGGTTACTTTTTTCCGCCAATGATACATTGGCCCTTCGATAACGACTTTTTGTGTGGATATGTTGGTGGCAATTGGTAGCTGTAAGCTATATCTATGGGATAATGCTTCCTTGAATATGTTTCATGGAATTAATCAAAATATGCTTCATAATATAGCTTTACTATAACTTGTTTGCTTGGAGCGTTGTAGATCAGCTTTTATTGTTTCTCTCTGTCTCTCTCTCTCTAGCCCGCGTAGTAAGTTTTTTTTGTTTTTACAATGTTGCTTGATCCGTCTCTTCAACCAAGTTAGGACCTATTAAAAGTATACCAGTCAGTCTGGTGGACAGGAACTGGTTTAGATCAACCTTGTTGGTTTGTTGGATATGGATGATTTGACATCAATATGTAAACAGGTTGGGTTCCAATCAGGTTATGTACCTGAAGAGCTTTAATTTTGAAATGGAGGCATCAATCAAATTGGACCTGCTAGTGAACTTCTAATTATTACACTCAATAGCACACTTTTTAATTAATTCTTTTTTTTTTTTCTCATTCGAGTTGTTAGACTTATGCCCTTCATAATGGGAATTAGGCCTAGTTTATGCCTTTTCATCCTACTAAGTATAAAGATGGTTGTTTGTTTTGTAGTCTCACCCATCTTCTGAATTGACCTTAATCCAGACCTGCTTGAATCTGATCCATTACTAGATCACCTCTTAACATGTTAATGTTATGTGCTTCTGCAACTGAGTTGTGGACTTTGTTTGCTTGCACTCTTGGACTATTATACAAGGAGGGTAACCGGGTTCTAAAATCTTCTCTTTATTTTCAGGCGATAATGTTGTATCTCATATTGCAAGGTCTTGCCCCACTTAAGGAAGTTTATGCTCTCTTTTATGCAGATTCCAAGACTTTGAAAGAAGAAAAGCGGGAAGAACTATTTGAAAATTTAAAGGCTGATGAATCGATTGGATGGGCTGTTGATGTCATCGATCCAAGGGAGCTTTCAGCTAAAATGTTAAAGAAGTCAGTTGAGAACTACTGAAAGCCTTTTGTCTATTTAAGCAGTTTTTTGGCTTGACTTCTAGTTGAACTTTTACAGAATTAAAATAAATCTTAATGAAATATCGCATGATTCCGCCATTGGCCTCGTCAGTAGGGTGCTGAACATTGGAGTTCTTCTAACTGAGGTAAATAATCTTTCAACTTATTTATGATGACCTGTTCCCAACGAAACTGTTACTCTACGTCCCACTTGGGAGAAAAATGTTCTTAATTACTAGAACATGCATAGGTAAGAAAAGGTGAAAATGTTTTTAACTGGTTTGGATCTTTAGGGATATGTTTTAGGATGTCATTCAAGATAGTAATGAAATTATATGATTTTGGCGTGAGGGTAAATATTAATTATCAAATGTAATATTATCACATCAAGGACAAGCCCCAATGTGCGAAAAGGGAAAAGAACATTAAATTTCTCTGGGTAGATCTGGCTTTAAAAAAGAGAATTAATTAACTGACATCTAAAAGGTATTTCAGATTTACGTGGATACTGTAGGAGATCCAGAAAAGTACAGAATTAAGTTATCTGAAAGATTTCCAGCTATCAAATTTGTGGTTGCAAAGAAAGCTGACAGTCTTTATCCAGTTGTAAGTGGAGCAAGCATAGTTGCGAAGGTGATTCTCTATATTCTGAACTCCCTCAAATTAAAGTCTTACTAAATGATTTTTAATGCCATGTTCACTCTACTTTTTAGGTCACAAGGGATCAAGCGCTGCGAGATTGGGTGCTTGATGAAACTGCTGAAAACATGCACAGGAACTTCGGATCGGGATATCCTGGAGGTAAGCATGTTGAACTTTTTTCATATTGCTGATTCTTTATTGTTTGAGTGATGTAAGCTACTCATGAACTTGGATGCACATTCATTTACTTAGATCCTGAAACTAAGGCTTGGTTGGCACATCACAAGCACTCAGTATTTGGATTTCCAACATTGGTCCGCTTCAGTTGGGGCACATGCACTCCCTACTTCAAAGAAATTGTTCAAGTTTTGTGGTGAGTCTTCATTATAAATTCTATTAGCCGTTTCAATTAGATTCTCATACACTCAAGTACACGAGCGCCCCTTGGTACATTGCTTTCCTTTATCATTTTCCTTGAGTGGTGTCAGTAAAATCAAAACAATTCTCCATGGGAGATACATACACAGTGGTGGAGCTACATGGTGATTAGTGGGGGCAGTTGGCCCCACACGATTTTTATTTGAAAAATATTTCTCATGCATTGTTAATATTTTTAAAATTTCTACCCCCATAAAAAGGTTTTACATGTCTCGCAATTCACTTAATTATCTTTCACATTTGAGTTAAATCTCTAAATTCTAAATTAAGTGAACTTAACTAATAATTAGTTAGTTGAATCCCTTTAATATGTTTTCAAGAGTAACATAAGGCTCTTTGTCCTCTTTCTGTCTCAACATCCCCTCCAAGTCTCTCATTGCTATTAATTTGGATATATTGGGGAAAACACGTTTAATGATGTTGAATATGAAATCTAGTTCGAAAAAACTCTCAATGGATTCAACAAAAAGTATTACCAGTTGATATTTAAGTTTTTGAATTTGTTATTTGAGTTTTTTATCTCACGATTGCCAAAACTTTCCCTGCTATATTGTATTCCTTGCTCTGCCCCTGTATGTAAGGAGCTTCCAACCAACTAATCTTTCTCTGAATCTGTAATGAGCAAAAATTTAAACTATCGGGCCACTAAGAGCAAAGATCAACTCATTCTACATGAACTATCTTACTAAGTTTCATGAGATGGATCTTAACTAATATCCAACAATGAAAAATATTTTGTTAATTATTCGATACACGAGGAAGGTATCCAAGCATCTTGTGAGTGTTCGCATTCAATACGTAGCAATATGGATATTTTGCACCAATTGAAGTGTCCGTAGATATTATAAATTTAGGACATTTTGCCATCTTAAATGGTTCACAAAACATGTAAAAGCCACTGCCCGACCTAATCTTTTGGCACGGTTTTGTACAATATGCCTGCTACAAGGCTTGAATTAACATATGCTTTGTTAATAGATTTGACGGCTGCTGAATCCATTACACAGTTTTATTGCATGGAGAATGGAAGTTGTCCATTACACAACTGTTTCGCTGGAGAATGGAAGTTGTCCATTACACAACTGTTTTGCAGGGAGAATGGAAATAGTGACCCCTTCAGGACCGTTACGGACATGACCAGACTGGAGATTACCACCAACAGCCTGGCTCCCTGCTGCCTCACGACAATCAACACATATCCCAAGCTAACCATTTCCTGAAACACTCTCACACCAACTTCAGACACAAAGCTCACTGTCCCTCCACCAAGATGCCGTCAGAAAGCTACCATTGTGACCTTCATCATGATATTACTGTGAAAACTCCAAACCCAGTGTTATACCATTTGCAAAGTGGGTGTGGGTTAGTGTCAGAAGAGAAGAGTTTTGGGGCGAGAGTAAATGGTGGGAGAGAAAGTGGATCCTGGGTTTGTTGTGGTGGTGGTGGTTGTGGTGTGCTGCTGGAAATAGGAAGTTGGAGAAAGGAATGACAACAACTATTATGTTTGGTCTTGCTATTGTACTCCCAATAAGGGGATCTTCTTAGGTGTTTCCCAGATCTTTAGGCTTTTTTTAGTGCTGCCCAGC